TTTGAGACATTCAAACAGAAAAAACATCAACAGCTTTTCGGAAAATATCATCCAAAAAGAAGGAAAGGAAAATATGTGATAAAGAAGAGATAGTCAGTATAAATGTTGGCATCATGTATTTCGATGAAAAGAAGTGTGAGTTGAAGCCTAGGTGGGGTAAGCGCCAACCAATTAAAATAGAGAGAGATGCTAATTAGTATTCAATTCTTCAACATGGATTGAACAAATGGAAAGCTTTCAGAAGAAGTGACATCCAGGAAGATCAGACATATTTACTGTTGTTAAAAGATGGTTCACAAGCAACCTTTATACCTGGTCAGCAAAGCAAGGAATTCTTTTCTCTGTGTCGATATAGAGAGGAACTTGGGAAGGGTTACCAGAGGATTTGCATGTATCTCTGCACAGAGGAAGACTATAACACCTCTGAAGGAGTATATGAGGTTTCTGGGAAAGAGAATGACAGTGGACCGATGCTCGACTAATAACACAGCAATTGGATGAAAATACAGGAACCATTGTGGAAGATATAATAGATGAGTATCCACAATCTAGAAAGCTTAGAAAAAAAGAATCAACTACAAGAACAGAACGTTCATCATCATCGTGTTCAGCTGTTTCTGCAAACACTAATATGCCTGGACCATCAGGTGCATACGATAAAAATGGTGCTGATGGTGTGTATGCTTCCTTATTCAGAGATGAAAAGGTTTGTCACATATCTGATACAGAAGATGTTCAAAAGTTATCTCAAACATCACCCCTTGAGGATATATTGAGTATATTAGCTGAACAAATTAACCTTGATACAATATCAAAGTTTAACATTTCAAGAAACCAGCTATTTGATTGTGTCAAAAGAGGACTCAAGCGCAAGTCATTCAGTCCGTTTAACAAAATTTCTGTTAAATTCACTGATGATGAGGGCTCTTCAGAAGGTGCTGTTGATGAAGGTGGCCCAATGCGGGAAATGTTGGCTTTGACTATGAACCATATTGTAGGATCCCATCTGTTAGATGGTACTTCAACTACCAAGTTTCTTACATGCATTAGTAAATCTGTTGATGAAAATGAATATTATTTGGTAGGCCAAATAATTGCTATGTCATTGGTTCATGGAGGTCGTGCACCCCACTGTTTTGCAGACCATTTTTTCAATGTGATAGTACATGGAACAGAGTCAGTAAAACATACAACAGAAGATCTTCCTGTGGGTTCTGCAGTGAAAGACGATTTGCTCAAACTGAGGAATGTTAATGTTGAAGAAGCAAACAGTGTTATAAGCGGAACTCTAGAAAATCTACTAGAACTTGCAGGTACATGGAAGCACATTCAAAGTGAAGATGACAAGGAAAACGTTATTCGGGACACTATCAAATGGTACCTATTTGGGAGAACAAAAACAGCTCTAGACCAATTCAAGAATGGTCTCTCTACCCTTGGTGTATTGGCAGCAATCCAAGAGTATCCCTCTGTCTTCAAGCCAGCATTTTGTTATGAGGCTGTACCACTCACTGCTGCGACATTTGCAGTATCCGAGAAAGTTGTTATTACAAGAAGTGAAAATGGATCAACTGCATATAATGTAGAAAGCAGAGTACTTGCCCACTGGGCAGATTTTCTACAAGATGTGGAAGAAAGTGAATCTCAGCTAACTCTTGCACAAATTCTTATGTTCAGTACAGGCTGTTGTGAGTTTGTTTTCGGGTTGCAACTGGAAGTACAGTTCCTTCATGAGAAAGAAGCAGATGAAATGCATTCAAAGTTTCCAAAGACCAATACTTGTGCTGGTATTCTTAGCTTACCAGTTGTTCACAATACATACAATGAATTCAAGAATGCTATGGAATTTGGTATTGCAAACGCCAAAGGTTTTGGTTGTGCCTAATATATTTACATGCAGTGTACATGGTAAAACATACTAGGGTAGTTATATTGTATATTTGTTATATAGTTAGTAGCTAAATGTTAGATTTTAGGAGTCCATGTTATATCTTTCTGTTGGTTCACATAGACCCTTATAGTATGTGATAGTCCAAACAATGTTATTTATTAAAAAACACTTTGATTGCGGCTTTAATCAATTATAAAATTACAGTTGCACATGTTTACAGGTTTGTGTCTTAGTATACAAATACAAGTATATTAAGTATTCACTGCTTGAATAAAACATTGTCTTTAGTGTGTTGGAAAACAACCTTTCTTATTTATTTTTGGTAAAATAGTTGTTTACACATGTCAGTGGAAAGAGTGGAATGG